GTTTAGAATTAAAAGAACAGCAGAATGATAGAGGAGATGTACAGCTACATGCCTGGAATTCAAAGGTTGCTTATCCTTTGTTTGTGTACTTAAAAAATATATTTCTAACATAAACCTGCCAAGAATGGTGTATGATCCATTGATATGGAGACATAAGGACAGTCAGTCTCTGCAATATTAATGTCACTGGAACGTGCCAGAAACAGAAAAGTTATGTGCTTTCATTTACTGTGGTTTTTAATGCTTATTCCCTCCCAAAGCCACACAAACTCTTAAGAAGAGCTCATGTTGGATCTTTGCTTGTCTGGGGAAGCAGAGACAAAATCAGGCTAGTAGGAGACCTATACACAACCAAAAGACACTGTATAGACAGAAAGGCTCCTTCACAAGGCATTGTCTTTTTTGCAGAGAATTTGTCTCACAGTTTGGTTTGAAGTGCCAAACCAGAAACCCAGAAATGTCCATGTAGGCAAAAATATGGATATTAAATTAAGGCACAGTCATTCTATATTTATAGCATGGTTAAGTTCATGATAGAAATGGATGTCTTATAAAACAATTAAGGGAGGCCATCACACACATCTGCTAATAATCAAGCTCTACTGAAGTTCATTGGTTGACACAATTGCAGTCAATCTATTAATTGATCCATTAGGATACCAAGCCAAGCGTGGAAACATCAGTTCAGTCCGAACGCATATAATATTGAGATAAATATTAAATTTAAAACATGTCTACAAAAGTTTAGTCAATTTTGTTTGGGAACAGGTTGGAAAATACTTTCAGTCCGAAATCTTCTCCGAGGTTTTATTTTCCCAGAGAGAACATCTTGCCTCTTTTAATTTTTCTGAATCTATCTGTCCACTAAGTAGATGAAAGGAGTGCTTCAAGAAAAACAAGTCAGTGACCTTCTCCATACAAATTGGCTTGCTTCTGAGATAACGCTTAGAATGTAACTAAAAAGAATAATTCAGTTTATACTATCTAAAAATCTCATTTGTAGAAAGATAGAATTTTTCCTTTGAGTTCAGCCAAAGAGGAAAACACTGGATTGGCCATATCCTTTAATTTTATAACATCCGTACAAACCAATTCCAACATGAAGAAATTGTTATTAAACAATAAGACACATAAAAGATGGCATTTCTGATTGAAGACAGTTTCTCTTGTCTGTTTAAAATTAAAGTTGATTTTTAAGTCTCTTTTGCAGATATCAAAGTCTTTAGGAATCTTAAAGAACTTTTAAAGTTTAACAGCAATAATATTAAATATCTACTTATACAATCAAAAAGTTAAACTGAGTTATTTCTCTTTTGAAAAGCAGATTATTTTGATTTTGGAAATCCAATAGCTTTTTAGCTTGTTGTATGCAACCCTACAAATCTATCACACATGCAAAAGGTGAAGGTTCTCATTCAGGTACACATTAAGATTAAAAATGCAATTATTTACTGCAAAGATTTACAAACAGCTAATACTGGACAAAATACCTGTAAATAAATATATTTTGCAGAATAAATGAAATGTATTTTTGGGTGTAATTCAATGAAACCTACAACTTGTATGTAAAGGTGATAAGAAAGAGATCAAGAGTTTCCCTCTAAATACTGGTACTCAAGGAATCCATACTGCTGAGCCTTACAATAGACCAGTGTTTTTCAGCCTTGGCAACTTGAAGATGTGTGGACTTCAACTCTCAGAATTCCCCAGCCAGTATATTCCTCAGACATCTTCAAGCTGCCAAGGTTGAGAAACACTGCAATGACTATGCATAACAAACTAGATAGTATGTAAAATCAGCTACACTAGCACGACACCAAAAGTGTGGAAACAGAACCTTTTTTACAGAACTACAAGTGTTTTAGTGATATCAAAGGTGGACAAAGTACCAAGCTCCTCTTGCTATAAAAAATCAGGCTCTGAAAAAAAAGAAAAGAAAAGAAAAGGAAGTTAATAGCTGCCACTTAGGGCAAAACAGAGGTGCTTCTTGAATCCAAACAAGCATTGAACACAGATGGTAAAGTCAATTTTTGCTGTGTAACTACTTTCTAAACTACCTTGGCCATAGTTGCCAACCAGATGCTACCCTAAATAGAAGATGAATAGATTGGTTGGTAAAGTTTATTTATTAATACTCTCAGTTTGGGGAGGTAAAGATATATATTCCTTTATAACAGAGAAATTATGGTTCCATGTCTGAATGTATCATGTCCTAGATTAGCCTGAGTCCCTCCTGACATTTTGGCTTACAGCTCTCATCACCCCTTTGTATGGCTGGCTAACCAGTGAGGATGGGAGTTACAGGTGAGATCATCTGGAGAGATGTAATTTGAGGACGAGCTGCTGTAAATTATCAGTGCTGCTTTAATAGTCAGAGTCATCTTTCCTCAGGTAGAGCATTTGCCACTGCCTCTCGTTTTTCTCTTGATGTGCTACTGGAGGAAAAAAACCCCACACTCTGTGATATAGCCACATTCTACATACATCCTGGCATGGTTACCTAGTAAAAGGCTGAGGAAGTCAGGAATGCGAAGTGCATACACAAAATCTCTTAGTTGGCAACGTTTACCTTTATCTTGTATGGAAACTGCCACGTACCATATGCTTGGCCCTTATTTCAAATTAACATCATCCAAAAGCTATCTCAGTTCCTCTTAACCATTTGTCAGGAAACCCAATCCCTAAACCTAACCTTTCAGTTCCTTTAGAACAGTTGCTGTTCCTTCAAAAAATTTAATATCTGATCCATTAAACAGTTGAATAAATAAAATACTAAATGGAGTTGAGGACCATTCTTCCTTTTCCAATTCGTTATTATTAAATTATAATTTGGCTAGGAGTGTTGATAAGCAAGAAAGTTTCCTGATCTCCTCTATTCTTGATGCTATGTTCTGAATCTGAACAAGCATATTTTAAGTAGCAGTTGCTGTGAAGCAACACTGGAAAAGCTAATTATTGTCCTGCTGTCCATGCTGTCAATGTATCTTGTTGGCCAGTGAGTCACACAGACTGTTTGATTAGATTTGCCGGTGGCCTGATTTACAGGACCCTTCTTATGTTTTTACACTGTTTTGTGCAACTAGATGATGGAATCAGGTACATTGGAAAGGCCAGAGGCATACAGAGTTGCTGAAATAATTGGGGCTATCCAATGACTTCTTTAAGTTGCCCTGGAAATGGTCCAGAGCTGTCTAACTGTAAAACTCCCCAGATTTTCATCTTAGTAGCACTTTCTGGAAGACATATTTATTTCTGAACTCTTTACTTGCCAAATCCTTCTTTCCATTGATAAATGTACAGATATCTCAGTAACACTTTAATACTGAGGTTAAGACTATCAAAACATTTGCCAGTTTCCAAAAAAATTTACCAGTGACTCTGGGAAAGAAAATGATCAGTACTATTATTTCCATAATGAAGGCTTAATAAAAAAATATTAGGAACATATGTCTCCTTCATAATAAATGATTGTGATGTATCCACAACTTACAGTGTTTTATATTTTTCTTCAGTTAAGAATCTTTAATATTACTCATTTGCTATTTATTCTTTTAATCACCCCCCTTCCCTTCATCATTCATATATCATCTCATTTATCTTACTTGTCAACTCATCAAAATCTCACACTGAATTATTCTGGATAATCTACCTAATTAAAATGTTACACCATTCATTCACTTTTATTGATTAGACAATTGTCCTTCTCAAAATACAAAATGTAATATAAATGCAAATATATGTTTTATTATATGTTTAAATGCAACTCAAATATCTTTCTATACCAATAATTATATGAATTGGATTCAACAGGCAGAAAATATTTGAATAAAAAAGCTTCCCCCCCCCCCCCGTCCGTAAGAACGCAAATAACAA